GAAGGACAAGACCAAAAAAGAAAAAGCTCGAATCTATTTAATAAATAATTTTACGCCGCCACCAACGAAAGGTTGTATCAAGTGGTAAGCGGTTTATTTCAGTTTAAATAAAATTTTGAGTTTGAGAGCTTGTGTACGCAGCAGTCTCGACTGAGAAACTCACCCATCATTTTCAGGTGCGCGACGCGAGTCGAGTCCGGATTAATTGGGACGAAACTATGGAAATAAGAGGATAAACCAAAAAAAATAATTCTACGCCGTCTGAAATATTCTAAATTACACAAAACATTTTTAGGAGTATTATTTTATTTTAATTAATTAATTTTATATATATACCTCCACTAAAGATTCTTCGACATCATGAATGGTTTGAGTCAAGTAAGAGTAAAAATAATAATGTTTGCCAAATGGTCCATGTGCTTGGTGACAAAGTAACCAAGTGGGAATAGTCAATTGGCAGAAACAAAATAAACAAAATAACAATAAAAAAAAATAAAAAATCAAATGAAAAAGACTCGATTCATTTAAGTAGTTCGAGTTTTATAAACGGATAAATAAGTGTTACAGAATTTCCTTGTGAATTAGTCGAATTTAATGATCGGCAGCTTAATAAAGAAAAAAAAAAAAAAAAGGACCCGAAAGAAAAGAGGTTGAACTTGATTTGTTTCTTACAAAACAAAATGACATTATCTCAGGAAATTTGTCGAACAGTTATCTTCCAGATCAGGACTTCCTCAACAAAACTGAGCCACAAATTCTTCACCAAACTAAACAAAATAGATTCACGCTTTTGTACAACAATTTTGATCTGATTTACAAGTATAAACCAAATTAACGATCAGAAAGAGATAGCATAATACACCTGAAAATCAGCTTCTGCTCTTCTTCTTTATTGGATTACGATCCGAGGAGGAGGATGAAGATGTGAGTCAACTTGTATGGAAGATCTACAAAGTGGGCAACTCGGCTCGTTACTGAGCCACTTGTCGACGCATTCGGAATGGTAAAGGTGTTGACATTGAGGCAAAACCTTAACTTTGTCGCCATCGCCAAATACACCGAGACATATGGAACAATCGGCTTCTGGGAACTGCCCATTGGTGACCAGCGAGATGGGCAACGAGCGGATAGTAGCGGGATCGAGCCCTCGTGGTTGTGGGGGCGGAGGGGTGGGCGCGTGGGAGTTGGGGGTGGAGGGGTTTGAACGGCAACGACTGAAACACCGCCAGTAGATGAGGACGAGGGAAACGGCGAGGACGATGGCGAAGAGAGCGATGATGTAGTAGAGCGTGCGGCCCCGGATCTCGAAATCGTGGTCTTCGAGCTCGGTGAAGTGCCAGTGGAAGGGATGGGATTGGGAATCTGATTCCTTTGATATTTCCATGGCTGGCTCATGGGCGGCCAGGACAGGAGAGCTCAGAATGAAATTACAGAGAAGGGGAAAGGCAAAACAGTTTATCCAGTTGACAGATTCAACAAAAAGCCAGGGGAGATGGACTAGTACCCACTTGCGGAACAGGTGCGTTGTGGATTGCTGGTTAAGTAATTAGCTTGGAGATGACAAGTAGTTTTTTGGATTTTTCCTAAATATCTAAAGAGGAATTGCAATAAAATCAAGCCTCTGGAGAAATTCCAACTTGTAGGCCATTAATAAATCATCGTTGACAGATTTTTAGAATAAAAAAAATATTATACAGGGCACACTATATTGAATCGTATAACCTTAAGAGGGGTGGGTGTATTGATATTAGAGTTGTTTTTTTATTTAAGAGTTAGATTTATTGTTAAATATTATTTTATAAGTTAAATTTAAATTTTAAAAATTTAATTTTTTAAATATATGATGTTAATATAAGGTGCACTTTAAGATTATTTTGGAAGAAAATAATTTTAAAATATAAAAACATAAATATAAAAAAAAAATAGAGTTGCCGTTATTATTCAATAATTTTAAGTTAGTTAATACAAATTTTAGATGGTAAAATTTTTTAAAAAAATTAAATTAATAAAAATGGAGATGCGCAATCTAAGCTCCTAAAAGAGCGGTCGAGCGAGCCAAGGGACGGACTTGAAACACTGTGTTGAAAGCGAAGAGGAGTGTGGTAGCTACGCTTTCACCACTTTTTTAATGTCTCTACTTTCTGTATGATTGGATTATGTGTCATGTAGTTATAATTTATAGATCTTAAATTAAAGTGGTTGTTGAGAAATGTTTGTATGTATTTTGTAAGGAAGTTTTGTTTATTATTATTTTTTTAACTTTTGTAAGAAATTAATGACACTTTTCTATATAAAAAAAATAACTAGTTGGCAAGTAAGTCTCGATAAAGAAAAATCAATGCATTATGTGTTAAGAAGTTCCTGAACTTTGACTGAATTTACAATTAACGCTCTAAAGTTTTATTGTGCTCAAATAAGGTTATAATTAAGAATAATGCTGAGTTTGGGGGCCTTAATTGAACAAAATAAAAAATTGAGACCTTAATTACAAGTTTAATAAAGTTTGGGACTTTATTAGCACATTATGGCAAAAATCAAATAATAGAAAGTTTTGGAGAGTTTATCAGTTTGATTTGATGAAGACAAAATTAAAGTAAAAATACCGACAGTCTTTTACTTGTTTTAAGTGTTTAGCTAATTTGTCAACGATTTAAATAATTTAATGATAATATTTTTTTTATAAAAATAATAATTTAAATAATTAAATGATAATTTTCTTCTTGAAAAATTAACCGATCTTAAATTCAAATAGTAGTATATAGATAAAATGGATTAAAAAATGAGAGATAATTATCTTTTATTATACAATTCAAAATAATAATAAAAAGTAATGAGCTGGTCTTGAAATCTATATCAAAATTATTTCGTAACTTTAAAAAAAGTACTAAAATTGTCTATAAACTTTAATTTTAAGCATCAAAATAGTTCTCAAACTTTGAAGATAATACCAATTTACTCCTTGAACTTTGAAGACAAGTATCAACTTAATTTTTAAAGTTTGATTACAAATACTAATATGATCTTTTAACTTTAATTATATATTAATCTAATCTGTAAATAAAAATATACTATAGTGATAAAATATGATTGTTTAATTTTACATATCATTAATTTTTAAAAAAATTAATTTTATAATAAAATAACAAGTTACGTAATATTTTTATTAATAAAAGGATTTTTTTGGTATTGAAAATTAAATTTAAGGGTAATTTTGATATTTTTTGAAGTTGAAGGATAATTTCAATATAAATTTAAAAATTAAGAAACCGAATTAGTATTTTAACCTTAAGGAAATAACGAGTGGGTTACC